GCGTGCGTGCGTGCGTGCGTGCGTGCGTGCGTGCGTGCGTGCGTGCGTGCGTGCGTGCGTGCGTGCGTGCGTGCGTGCGTGTGGGTGTGTGTGTGTGTGTGTGTGTGTGTGTGTGTGTGTGTGTGTGTGTGTGTGTGTGTGTGTGTGTGTGTGTGTGCGCGTGTGTGTGTGTGTGTGTGTGCTGGCTCAAAGCACGCGCATGTGTGCGCGCGTGTGTGTTTGCACTTGTCTCTGTGTTTGTGTCCGTTTGTGTTTGTGCTTGGGTTTGTGTTTGTATTTGTATTTGTCTCTGTCTTTGGGTTTGTCTTTGTGCTTGTCTTTGTCTGCGTGTGCTTGTTTTGGTGTTTTTGAGTTTGTCTTTATGCTTGTCTTTGTGTATGTGTTTCGTATTTTTGGTTCGTGCTTGTGTTTTGTGTTGTGTGTGTGTGTCTGTGTTGCTGCTTGTGCTTGCGCTTGTGCTTGTGCTTGTGCTTGTGCTTGTGATTGTGTGTGTGTGTTTGGGTGTGGGTTTGGGTGTGTGCTTGTCTTTGTTTGTGTCTTTGTCGGTGTGTTTGTGGTGGGGGCTGTGTTTGTGGTTGTGTTTGTGTTCGTGTTTCTGTTTGTAGTTGCGCTTGTGTCTGTGTGTGTTTTGCTTCTGGAGCTGGTACCCGTTTCACCTTTGTTAATGGGAAACCAAAGGAAAACCGCCTTGTAGGGGCACCTTGTTTGGCACAAGTCAATCAGCTGCAATGTCACAGATGTGCCAACGCGTATCAAGGAAAGAAGGGCTCAATTCGGTCTTAGCTTGCAATTTTGCAGTGTGTACGGGGTCAACAGCATGGAGAGCGGCTTCTGCCAGAGGGAAAACCATGGTAGCAAAGTGTCCATTGCCTGCAGTATTGCCCCCGGATTGAGCAACCTGGCGGAGTAGAGGGCGTTTCCCAAAAATGTGAAGGATCCCTCTAGAATGGGACCCCAGTCTTCAGCCCGGATTGAAACTGAAAAATGCGATCGGCCTGTCGATGGATGACATGGAGGACTTGCTATGGACGCCATCCGGCTCCGGCTGCTCCTTGCGGCTGACTTCCCCCAGACGCTGGCAGCTTGCGCAAGAAACAACACAAACATCACCTGCACACCTATCGCTCATTGGCTTGACCAGGCCGGCTTGCAAGCTACGATGGCGTCCAAATCATGCTAAAGTCCGGTAACTGTCAATGGGCAAATGTGGGAAACCAAGGGTCAGCCCCACGCCGTGGAAGGGTATAGGGTACCTGTTGCCTGATGCACCCCGCAAACCCTAAAGAGCATACTGTATTAAACAAAATGTCGAAGTCAGCTAGAGGGAAGCAACCCGGAGAACCGGCAGAAACTGAACCAAAATAGTGAGACCAGTCATGAGTCATATGCTGCAAATGTTCAGTCCTTCGGAGCCTTTGCACGGACTGCAATCTCCGTGTCTGACCATTGGAGGTCTTGATACCTTAGGTTCGGCAGCTGTGTAAGCCTATTACCAGGCTTGGTTGCAACACGTTTAAACAACCGGACCGTACCCCGTCCCCCCCCCCCCGGCAACGGGCAGCCAAAGGAGGCGGAGGAGACGGGAGCAGGGGAGGATTCATGCCCACCAACCATTTTTCCGGTGGTTCCCTACAAAAAATCATTCCCCTCCGGCGGTCACTCAAGCCATCACAGTGTTTCAGCCCTGTGGATGGCCATTTCGCAGGATCCTTACGGGTGCCGAACGAACACTATGGTGAAAATGACCAAGGAACCATGCAAGCTCGCTGATTTTGACAGTGTCGTTTGATAGCCTAGATATCTTGGATGCACTGTGAACAAATCAGTTTACCAAATATCCCAAGATATCCCAAGTCTGGAGAACCACAGGGGGTGTGGTTCTTCCATGACAACTCTGAGAAGCAAACGGATCAATGTACAAGACCACGTGCTGAACTGTCTCAGGCACAGAGTCCTGGAAACACAAGCTGTCAAGCCCGGTCCCTGAGCATGCCTCTACACAGCTTGAGAGAAATGATAGGAAACGTGGCGAATCACTTCCCCGCATCTCAGTCCTTGCCCTTCAAGTCAACCCAAATTGGTCTGGACGTGATATCATCAATCATCTGGATCACCTGCGTTAGCCACGTCAGACGGCCAGCCAGTCAACCAGCCACACAAAAGACCTGCTGACATGGAAATGTAAGCACTTTGCAGCGCCTACTGACTTCTAGTACAAACATGCTGAAGGCTTCTATCAGCCCTTTCTTTGTATCCGGCAATGGCGAATTGGAGCTTTGGACACTTTGAGTTCGTCTACCTCCGCTCCATGGGCCTCCGGAGTATGGAGCGTGGCACTGAAGAACAGGGTCTGGACCTGGGCTGATGAGTTTGAGCCAAAAGAAGATCAGCCTGGATCTGTGAGAAACCCCATGGATGCACTGGGACACCGGCACGATCCCGGCGCCCTCGCTTGATCTGCGCGTTCAGGCGAGGGATGTCCTGGACAGCTCGGCTGAGCTCCAGGAAACCCCTCCCCCCCAATCACTGTACCCCTGTTTAGTTCTTTGGTTTGTTTTGGACCTTAGGGGGCTTCCCCATTTGGCTTCAAAAACCACCACCAATCCAAACCACCAATTGAGGGGCACGTGAAATCATGCACTCGCCAGTCACAAGAACGGAGCTTGGAAGGATGACTTGGATCAAGAGCAAGGCCGGGTTGAATTCACACGCCCAAAAAAGACCCAGCGCCTTGCGGTCATCCTTCTTCTGAAGGTCATCTGCTTCGTCGAGGACCAAGAACTTCAAGTGAGTCACATCCTTCCAGAAGTGCCCTACTGGGTTTCGATGTGACATCCTCAAACGACCCGAGCTAAATGCCGGCTTGAGGGGAAAGCGGGTCCACACGAGTTTACGAAGCCAAGATGTTCACTGCAGTGGACCTAGTAACGGTGCCATTTTTTTTTGACAAGACACATCGTGCTGAGTCCCCAGCCAATTTTCCTCTCCTCACATAGTCCATGAGCTTCTGGAGTGTCCCAACCTGAGCTTGAATGAATAAAGGGGCTTAGCTGCTTAGCCAAGCCTGAGCTCCAAGCAACAATGTCCACGCCTTCTTCCAAAGCACGAAACTGCTCCTTCACCGCCGTGAAAAAAGACACTGGCTGCAACGCATTCATGACAGGACGCCAGCCTTCTCGTCGATTCCTCCGACAAAGAGGGTGATGCGCACCGTCGGGTTGTCAAGGTATCTGTTGAAGGTAGTCATGCCTTGGTAAAGAAATGTCTCGCTTAAACTTCCAAACTGCTCCTACTTGCGGTTCAAGCTGCGCAGCACCCTTCAATGGCACTCTGTGTAGCAGACACGGCACTCTACACACTTCCAATAGCACCCTGCCAGTTAATCTTGGTCACTGTCCAACATTGCCATCCCAAAATCCTGAAGCAGCATCCTGCACAACTCTCTAGCACACTGGTTGGCGCAACCCTGCAACGGTGCTGCAACAGCACTTTACAACAGAGTGCAACAGCACCCTGCCAAAATGCCTAGTCACGCGATTGCCCCCTGAAGCACCTTGCAACAGCTCCCTGCAGGCCCTTTGCAACAACACCCTGCGCAACTCCCAACCAAACTTTCAAGCTCAAAGGCAAAATGTATGATGCTTTTCAGCTTGGTTTAAAGGGAAAACCAAAAGGCAAGCCCGAATTCCTTCTTCCAGAGTCCAGCCAGGCTGCATTTGTAGGTCTGCTCCGCAAGGTCCCTGGAAACAACTACCATGGCAGATTGCACCCTAACATAGCAACTGCGCCAGTTGAGTCACGATTTACAATGGAAACCTGTTGTTAAAGTGGTCCACATAAAGCCATGTAAAAAGCCAAAAGGGCGGCTGCACCCATTTGTAGTCAAAACTCCAACCAAATGGTCATAGATGCGCTACTTAGAGGTCCATGACCATCCCTCCTAACCTCAAGCAAAGGCGTGGTTTCACAATGGCCCGCGGGGCACGTGTGACTTTTTGGATGGCACCGTCTTTGCATTGCAACTCCTCACCTGTTTGTTCTGTTTGGAAAGGGTCTCCTGTTTTAGGACAAGCGCAGTGTCGGCACTTTGCAACATCGGAGTTGCCTCGTTGGCTCAAGGATCATACACAGCGGAGGGCGCTTGCCTGAGGCGCGACTGGGCAGCAAATCGCTGGTTCTCAGTACGGAATCAACAGGGATCTTCGGAAAGAATCGGAGAGGGATCAAGTCGGACGGTTCTGGGGCACTTCCCTCATTCCCAGCGTCCGAGCGTCCGCACGCGACTTCCGAGCCCCGCACCCTTGGCTTGGGAAGTGCCCTGCGGCGTGTGCGTGGGGTCAATTTCACCTGCCAAATGCCGGGGCTTGACGGACGAAGGGATCCCAAATGGATCGTCGGTAAATCCCGCCATGTCCGCTTGCAGGTCGTTTTGCCCGTTTTGCACAGACCCACCCCGTTTCCCCACCCCACCCCCCGCCTATCGGCGCATAGCCTTCCACTGGATACTCCATAGGGCCATCGAACTTCGCGGCGGCCATGAAGCCCTGACTGGTCACATCGAGCGAATCGGCGCCTTCGGAAAGGCTACCTGCAGATTGTTGTGGTCTTTGTTCCAGGGGTCTAGGGGGTTGCCCAATTTTTTCAGCCACTTGAGCCGAACCAAAATCACTCTATTCGACTTATAGCTGGTCAGTTCATCAGTCGCGCTTCAAATTGAGGTGCCCATGCCAATAACTGGCAAGCAAGGCAACAAGCCCAACTCTCATGATTCAAACACAAGATTTGACTGAATGCCTTCTTGCAGCCAACCAGAACGGCTGCCACAAGCACATTGCAACTAAAGCTGATAAACCGTTGCCACACGCGGGCAGTTTTTGTTGCATCATTTCGACCGCTTGCATCATTAAAACTTGTGTCCACATTTGAGGCGTTCGAAATCCAAGGTGAACATATCCTGATTTGTCTACGGTCCAATTGTAACACGGACTCCCTCAACTTCTCACCGCGGTCCTTGCCGCAAATGTGGGGCTTCAGGCCAATGCGCTGCATGTCTGGCGGAAGCCTCGGGTTTTGCCCAATGAAGCCGCGGTCTTAGCACAGGGGAACCCTTAAAATGGCGGCCTGCCAGACCCCAAAAAGTACCAACTAAAAAGAGACACACCCGCATGGGAGAAATGAGGCCTCTTGGCCTGAGCAAGCTTGTTCTATGTGAAGTTGGAGAAAGCACTGCGCTCGACTTGTCTCCAAGGGGGAGCCTAAGCGTGGGTTCCCCGTACATTCCTGCTTTGACCAACACAAAACTGGGGTCATTTCGCGGGCCTCAAAAAACGGTCCTCCCAAACGCCGCTTTCGCGTTCGCTTTGCTTCCCGAAACCTTTGCCTTTGGGCACCGCACTTGTAGGCCACACCTAGGTCTCGGCCATTCTTGGTGAAGGCAATGGTTTGCTTCTCGCGGTCGAGCAGGCAACCTCAGATAAAGGTCTTCTGAGATGGTGTCCGACCCCAAACTGCAGCTATCCCCAAAGAAAAACGATGTGCGTGTGTGTGTGTGTGTGTGTGTGTGTGTGTGTGTGTGTGTGTGTGTGTGTGTGTGTGTGTGTGTGTGTGTGTGTGTGTGTGTGTGTGTGTGTGTGTGTGTGTGTGTGTGTGTGTGTGTGTGTGTGTGTGTGTGTGTGTGTGTGTGTGTGTGTGTGTGTGTGTGTGTGTGTGTGTGTGTGTGTGTGTGTGTGTGTGTGTGTGTGTGTGTGTGTGTGTGTGTGTGTGTGTGTGTGTGTGTGTGTGTGTGTGTGTGTGTGTGTGTGTGTGTGTGTGTGTGTGTGTGTGTGTGTGTGTGTGTGTGTGTGTGTGTGTGTGTGTGTGTGTGTGTGTGTGTGTGTGTGTGTGTGTGTGTGTGTGTGTGTGTGTGTGTGTGTGTGTGTGTGTGTGTGTGTGTGTGTGTGTGTGTGTGTGTGTGTGTGTGTGTGTGTGTGTGTGTGTGTGTGTGTGTGTGTGTGTGTGTGTGTGTGTGTGTGTGTGTGTGTGTGTGTGTGTGTGTGTGTGTGTGTGTGTGTGTGTGTGTGTGTGTGTGTGTGTGTGTGTGTGTGTGTGTGTGTGTGTGTGTGTGTGTGTGTGTGTGTGTGTGTGTGTGTGTGTGTGTGTGTGTGTGTGTGTGTGTGTGTGTGTGTGTGTGTGTGTGTGTGTGTGTGTGTGTGTGTGTGTGTGTGTGTGTGTGTGTGTGTGTGTGTGTGTGTGTGTGTGTGTGTGTGTGTGTGTGTGTGTGTGTGTGTGTGTGTGTGTGTGTGTGTGTGTGTGTGTGTGTGTGTGTGTGTGTGTGTGTGTGTGTGTGTGTGTGTGTGTGTGTGTGTGTGTGTGTGTGTGTGTGTGTGTGTGTGTGTGTGTGTGTGTGTGTGTGTGTGTGTGTGTGTGTGTGTGTGTGTGTGTGTGTGTGTGTGTGTGTGTGTGTGTGTGTGTGTGTGTGTGTGTGTGTGTGTGTGTGTGTGTGTGTGTGTGTGTGTGTGTGTGTGTGTGTGTGTGTGTGTGTGTGTGTGTGTGTGTGTGTGTGTGTGTGTATATATATAATATATATATACATATATATATATATATCCGTTAGTAGCTGCTCAAGGGGTAGTGGTTTCGGGGTAGTGGAAACCATGTTAGGCTTTGTAACTACAAGTAGAGAGAAATGAGCACCCTATTCAACCATGAATGATTTATTTAGGCTTTTCTTCTTTGTGTCAAGGGTACCCACAAAATACCCCCCCCACCCGGGCATGAATTTCAAGTGGAAATGGAGCCTTTGATGGAGAGCACAAGGGGATGTATGGCCCCAGATTCACCAAATGAGTGGCGTATCCCCAATGGCACTGAGGAAAGCAACCAGTGCTCTGCGCGCCCGGGTTTGGTTTGTTGGATGCGGGACTCCTCTGCATTGATTTGGCCGGCGTGGTTTGGCTCTCAAAGGGTTGAGGCAGGTTTGGGGAGGGGTCCGAGGGCATTTCTCTCATGTGTTTTACACGGCTCAAGGCTCAAGACAAGAACTAATAGCAGGGCCAAGCCCTCGTGGAAACATGCTTAAACCACTACTGTTCAAACAAAAAAGGGGGCCAGGGTTGGTTGACATGTTGCCCCACCCTGGCCAAGAGCCAATACCCAGCGTTTCCACAGCAATCACACACACACACCAATTGGCAATTCAATTCAAAAGGCACTGCGGAGGCAGCAATAGACTGCCTTTTCAGGGCTCAAGACATGGATGTCAGACATGACTGTGTTCAACAGACATGTCATCACCATTTCCAGCTTCCCATATCGGCCCTTATGGCCCCAAAACTGTATGTCTTCTAGATCTACTTTATTAAGGTCCTAGGCCAGAGGAAAAGACAACATGTTCTTGCGCTGAAAGTGAAGCAACGTCTCGACTCGATTTGCTCTCAGGGCCCCGGCCAATGACATCACCTTCCTCAAACGTCTCACCATAATCCTTCGAGGATTCCATCTCTCCTTCTCACTCTCTCTTGGCCCTGACCCGTTCAAATGTCTGGCCTCAAACTTCCTGTTCCAGCTCTTCTTCCCAGTAGAGCCATAGCCAAAGCCTCAGCCGCCAAAGTTCATGTGACATGTGGGTGAGTGAACCCAATGTCTTAATGGGAATTGTAAACCACATGCGGCACATGCCCGTCCCTGTTTGCAAGACACACCTTCGAAGCCTCAAAATCAGGTGCACCCACTGCAATGTCGGAGTGAGCTTACAACATAGCGTCCTAATCATTAGACTCGCATGTTCGCACAGCCGGCATCGCAAATGAAACACGAATTGTTCAATCTGCCTGATTCTGCGGGAAGCATTTTGCATGCTGTTCCGCCGAATAAGATCTTCATCCTGAACATCCCTCGCAAATGTCCAATCAGGCCGAGGAACTTTTGTCGTCAATGCCCAGCTCAAGCTTTGCAAAGCCTGCGCTCCAGCCTGCAACTTGCAAAGCAGAAAGTGGGACAGAAGTCACCTGCAGGACCCTGAATGGTCCGGAGTGGTATCTCTGTCCTTCATTCAATCCCCTGACTGCTGCACTAGTAGCTGGCAAGTGTCGGAGTCATATATACCAGCTCGTCAAGGCACAAAATATGAGATAGTGAAGGACCACTGAATGTCAAAGCTCATCATAAGATCGCTGCATCCCTCGTGTTAAGAATCAAACAACCTCTGGCTTCCATCCTTTCAGCCACTCAGGATGTCCGTTCGCCAAAGCCCGGAAAGCAACCTCAAATCACAACAAGTGCCATGTAAAAACTCTTGCGGGACATGGTCATGGTCCCTTAGCAGGAATCCCCATACTTCCTATGATTCTTTGTTAAGGGGTATGACCAGCCCCCCTGAGCCCAAGCAAGGTGTTTTGACCATGGTACCATGGTGCATCCTGGCCTATTCTCACCATTCCTTCGACCACCTGCCCGCGATGGGTTGTCTGTCGATCGGTTGTCGGGCATGGTTCAAGCCGTCTCGCATCTGGTCAGCAAGACAAAATACAAACTGAGAACATTCGCCAATCTGAGAACATTTGATGAAAGGAAACCGAGCAACTAGTATAACTAATCTTGTAGGTATATGACTTCCAGGATGGCTGGACAATGAAGTGTGCACAGTAGGCGTTGTCAAGTTGGGTCGCTGCAAATTGCAACGTGGGCGAAAAAGTCAGCTACTTCTCAGACAAAACTCCAAAAGTCGAGCAAACTTCCAAGCTTGTCCACTACATCGGGCCTCTACCTCGTACATGTATTTGCCCTGCATGACCTCGATGGTCCCTCTGATCCTCAGGTATGGCTTTGTAGATCGCCGATCTCTTGAGAAGCACAACATGCTGTACGCCCCATTCTGAGCAGCGCACCCGTTCCATCGCTTGTCATCCTCACTTTTGCATTCCATGCCGTCCTCTGTGACCAGCACAAACATGTCCTGTGAGAGAGAGAGAGAGAAAAGCTCTCGGCAATCACAAGTGCCTATATCATGAACACCAAAAATGGGGTCCCTCAAAAGCAGAGTCTTCTGATCAAGAATTTTGAAGGGGACATGTTCATTCAAAGGGTATGACTATGATGAATGCAAGTTTTGATGGATCCACCTTGTCATTCAAATTCAGCTCGCACTTCAGGTCCGATGCAGTAGCTTTCCTGCCGGTAAGCAAGTCCCACACTTGTCACAGCAAACACACCCGCCTCTAATTTCAATCATACCAAGACCGTCTGCATGTTCTTACTTCATAAGACAAACACCAGAAATCCATCTGTCCTATTCAAAAGGCTTTGTATACCTGATGAGTAGTCGTGGCAGCCTGTCTCCCGCTGGCTGCCAAACATGTGTTGAATTGGATGAACTTTAGGCAACTGCTTTGAACGACCTCCCGCCCCGGGAAACCTATAACACTGCGTCCAAAATATCCCCCCTGACTTTTAGCCAAAAATGGTGGTGTTGGTGATATCCTTTTGGTCTGGTGGAAAAGGGAATGTTTAAAGGAGAACGTACACGTGCGGAGCCTTGTTGCGCACTTACCCCGCAAAGTCTCGTGCACGATCTGCAGACATGGAAGACCTCAGTGCGGCATTATGTAGCTGATGTGGGATGAGCAGGATACATCAGCACATCTCCGCGTTGAACGCGAAGCCAATTCTCGAACATTGTCTGAATTCGTGCAACGCAGCCGTCCCCTTGGTATGAACGCCTACCACGATTGCATGCCAGAGTCTCTGTTGATCTGTGTGGTGCCCCGCAATCACAAGGGGAATTGACAGACACGCCACCAATTTCCGGAAAGAGATCACCAAACTCCAGAGTGCATCTGGCAGGCAGGCAGTGCCAGAAATGGTGATTTGCCGCTGGAACTTGAGGCTGTTTGTAGCAACTTGACTCTTTGACCCTTTGACTCTCCAAAAAAGCTCTGATGCACCCTGCGCAAAACATATATTTACATATAGTATTGTTAAACTGAGTGTGACTGTGTAAACCTGTGATGTGTCAGCGCGGCACTTGTTGTCTCCTGGCAATGGGCTGTAGTCTATCTGTAGGCTCAAGGCCTTGATGTACACCGGAGCAGGGCCATGTACAGGATGGATGCATATTAACACCCCCTCTTGGATTGATGTAGTCCCACAAGCCAAACAGTTTTGTTCTGACTGGCCGAAGTGATGTAAAAGTCTGCTATCAGCTCTACTGGCTGTTTCACTTTGTACATCCATGCTTCTAGTGAATCAAACATCTGTGCAAACTGCATCCATTTGGCCTGATGTCTGAAAGATGTAGCTGCACCATTGTACCAAAATCTGGTGTGCCAAAAATGGCAAATGTAGACAATGTGTGTCTACGTGGTCCTTTTGCGCTTCTTGTCCTCATCGGTGTCAGCCAGAGGTGTGTCTGACTTGTTGAGGCTCCTCCTGTACTCATTGATCTTGTCAATGTACTCGGGGTAAATCACGCTGTTCCTGGTTGTGAGGAAGGCTGCATGTTCACTGTGTCCTCTCAATTGTTCCAAGGGCTTCACAGCTGTTGCTGCGACCTTGTCCTCTGGGCCGCAAGTGCTCATCTTTGCAGTCACAGCTGTGGAACGCTGCGAGCTCATGTGCCTCAATGCCACAAGTCCTGCATAATCAAGGGCTTGGGCGCGTCCATCAAAAGTTGCATCATGGTCTTCAGCTGTAATAAGGTCGTCTACCCGAAGAGCCACGTTGTACGAGAGCAACAATCCTGACGCCCAGGTGTACTGGTTATAGATGTCGCAAATGCATGGGCAGTGTGTAAGACGCCATGCTGTGAGGCTGTCCTTCTCCATTGTACTCAAAAGCCATGTGCTGTTGTTGTAGATCTGCACCTGTTGCGCAATGTAGCCTCTGTTGAATGTGTTTGCTCTGGACCGGGATGTGAGGTCGAGAAGCTTGGTCAGGTCACAGCGCCAGGCAAGGATGTAGAGGTCCCTTGTGTTGGCTGTAGCCAGAGCTCATCAAGAACATTGTTGTCACGATCGCACCATGTGGATTGGTTGTAAGCACTGTGAAGTGAAAGGCCGGGTAGCGAAGGTTGCCCGGATGTGCTTCATCTTCTCTAAAGCCGAGGCTGTTGTGTTTTTTACAAACGAGATGCACTCCTCAGTGGTGAGGGCAATGTAGAGGGCACTGCTGTTGTTGGCCAACGTGAGGTTGCGCCAAGCTGTAATGCCACGATCTGTCCGCTCGCACAAAGCCGGAGTCTGCCACCGATGTGGTCATCCGGTCGTTGTATGACCTGTGCAATTATTGGCAAAGGTATAGTTGGCTGCATGTCCATTGCGACGTGTACAAGCCGATGTACCTCCAGACCAAACTGATGTAAACATGAAATGGCAGCAGAAATGTATCAAAGAATTGTTTGAGACATGCACAGACTGTCATGCAAATTTTGTTGCCAAAAGATGTAAAAGGGGTTGATGTAGTTGCGAAAGCGAGGGTCGATCCATGGCTATGTACCTACCCGAAAAGACTGTAAATGTGTTGGCTGATATGTAGCAAAAGAAACACACATGTGAACTGCGCAACTGTTGTTTAACATACTGCGCACACTGTGTGAAACTGCGGTAGCCTCAAAGGCCAACTGCATATGTGTGTGTTTGTTAAGTGTGTCACTGCCAACAAACTTCGTGAGAATGTCGGCTGGGTTGTCTTCTGGTTTTACCTTGTGCATTGCGATGATGTTGCTCTTAGCAAGCCGTTGTACGAAGAGGTATCGCAGCTGTACCTTCTGCGCTGCTGTCTGTGTGCGATGTTGATGCGTACTTCAAATGCTTCTTTGATGAAGTTGCTGATGTAGAGGCTTTCCTGCGCTGCTGTACCAATCGCGTACAGCTCTGACTCTGCTGATGAAAATGCTATTGCTGCTTGTCCTGCTGCCATAGTGTACTGCTGCTCCAAAGAAGTATAGCACGCATCCTGTTGCGCTCTTTCTTGTTGTCTCCACGATGCGCAGCTGGCATCAGTGTGTGTGTGTGTGTCAATGTTGATTGGGATTCGATCATCCTGTGTCTGTATCTTTGGTCGCAAGTTGCGTCGCGTGTGCCTTGTGCCTTTAACGTGCCTGATCATGCGCTTGAGCTTCTTGTAGCCAAGCTGTGTTGGTGCTTGTAGTCTGCTGTCTGGTCGTGTGTGTGCTCGCCATTGTATCTTGCCAACAAGCCGCCTGTGTTGCTTGCGTTGCTCTTGGTCGTGGTGCTTCATCTTCTGCTGCACCTTTCATGTGTGGCACTCCTGGCGATGGTGCTGGATTGCATGTAGTCATGCCTGATTCCTCCGGAAAGGATAGTTGTCGTTCAGGCTGATGCCTATGTAGGAAGTGTATTGTTGATGCAACTGTTAGGTCGCCTGTGTGTCTCAACAGTAGTTCCTTTTGCATTCTGCTGAAGAGTATGTTGATGATGCTTTGTACTCCATGAAAAGGAGATCGTCTACTCAAGTGCGACTGCGAGAATGTGTGCTATGTGGTCTTGCCATTGTTTTGGCGATGATCTTAAGCCGTAGATGGCTTTGTTCAGCCGCCACATGAGGTGTCTGTTTTCTTCATCGTAGAACTCGTGCGGTGGTCGCATTACCAAGTTGAACATGGAAGAATGCAACACTGACATCTCCTGCGCAGACCGGCCAGCTGTACACCAATGCCATTGTGAGAAGAACTCTCAGTATGCAAAACAACGGTGTACCAGCAAAGAGTAGGTCGTTGTCTGTAACAGGTTCTATGTAGCCTTTTGCCACGATTCGTGCTCGTACTTCGTTGTGTTTTTGTTTAAGAACCCATCTTGATTCAATGACGCTTGCTTGCTGTTCTGGTGTCATTCTGTTGCCATCAATCTCTATGAAAACTGATTGGACTTTCACTTGTTGCACTTCCTTCTTCATGCCTTGCGCTACCTGTTGTGGATCCAAGCCTTCTGCGTCATCTATGATTTGCTCGAGTAGGATCCTTTCATTGTCTTTGCTTCTGTGTCCTCATTGCGTGTTGTCTCCATTTGTTTGCCTTCTCTTGTTGTCAACTTGATGGCATTGGTTCTCATTTTGCCCTTTGGTTGTAGATCGCTCCAGCGCTTTCTCTGCACCAGCTCCAGGATGTACTTCTGCAGGATGTGGAAGTCCATGTCCATCTTGACCTTTGGTGGTGTGTGGTGCTGCTGCGTCACGGATTGTTGGTGGTGTTTTCTCGTTCAATCGCTTGCGTGGGTCGCTGGTCCTCAAACGTGTTCGTTGTACCATCCGTTGTACCATCCTTGAATCTGATGGTTGTTCTCCTGTAGTCCTCGAGTTGTTCTTCTGGGACTGGACACTGTGTTCTTGATGGTGTGGTGAAGAGTGTCTTTCTGTGTTGCCTGTGTACTGTGACAAGTTCGCCTTTCTGCTGAACTGCCAGTAGTCTTCTGCAAATCCTGTATCTGCAGGACCTTGTGGTGTCAATGTTGCGGTCAGCGCTATTCTGCCAATTTGTCCTTGAGCTGCGCTGTGTATCTGTAGCTTTGTTCCTTTTGGCAATGCTGCGATTTCTGCTTGTAGGAAGAACAGGCCATTTCTGTTCTCCAGTGCGCTGTTGAATCCTTTGATGCGCTGTATGTAGTCTTGGATTGTCATCCAGTGTAAGCTGGAAACCTTGTTCCACCAGCCTTGTAACCGAAAGAGTTGGCTGTTTAACCTCACAGACAAAAAATGGTCTGACAATCTGTTGTCCGCTGTGGTTTGTCACGCAAACCCATCTGTATGATGCGCTGATTTGTAACTGTTCTGAGCTGTGGTCCTGTTCCATGTTCAAGTTGGTGTAATGGAAATTGCGGCGCAAACCATGGTGACCACACATGTGTAGCCGCACCGCTGTCAATCATAAGACTGACCCACTTGTTGTCCTTTGTGTGTTGCTGCGCTGCGCCAATCTTGGCAATTGTTACTTCTTGTAATCCTGAGATGGATGCTACTGATGAATCGGCCTGCTGTGCTGGTTGCGGCAACGCTAGTGCGCTGGCTGTACCAGTCATCTGTCTGGTCGTTGGTGTCGAAGTTGCCAGTGTCGCAGTTGCATTGTTTGGCTATGTGCCCTGGCTGTCCACATCTGAAGCAAACATTTGTTGCATGCTTTCCTCTTGCTCCTTTTCCTCCTTGTTGGTTGTTGTAGTACCCTTTGCCTTTTCCTTTGTTGCTGTACCTCTTTCCTTTGTTAAACTTTTGTTGTCCTTTGAAAGGGTTTCCTTGTCCAACCGGTTCCTGATTGTGTTCGCCGTAGTTGTTCCTTTGTGTTTGCGTCCTTTACAGTTGCTGTAGTTGTTCCTGTTGTTCCCGTAGCCTTTGCCTTTGTTGCGCTTTCCTTCTCTGCCCTTTGCCTTTGTTGTACCATGTTGCTCCTGTGTCCATCGGCGCCGGTCCTTGGTTGTTGCTGCCTGATGCGATTGCTTGTAGCCTGGTGAATGTTGCTGTTGCTCTGTAGTATTCGGTCAACATAGATCTGATCTGTGCATATGTTGCGATGTTCCCTGCTTGCAGCTGTAGGTGTTGCTGTAGTGGACCTTTTGTCTCGTTGAGCAGTACTGCAATCTTGACTGCATCTGGTCGTAGTGTGTTGTTGTCTTGTTCGTGCTTGGCGAGCTAAAACCCCCACGTTGCCAAGCTTTCTTCGAACTTCTGTTCATCAAGTTGTGGTTTTAGAAGCCGTGTGAGGTGTCCCATACTCCTTGTGTCAAGTGGTATGGAGTACCTTGCATGTGTCAGCCGCCATTTTTCAATTCCGTTGCCTTGAAGGTTTTGTCTGCAGATTGTAGACGCTGGTCCATCGCATGCGCTCACTAAGATGTAGTGTAAGTTGTTGCTCAGTTGTATCCAGTGTTCTGCCACTTGTTGTGAAGGTGCTGCATTCTCAAGTTGGTCATTTGTAACTTGTCCTACTGGCTGCTCTGACTGTCTAAGCAGTCTGTTCTATGCTGGGTCCTGTAGTCCAAGGCATGCTGTTACCTTGTAATTCCATTCCTTGAAGGTGTTGTATTCTCCTGAGAACCGTGGCGGTGATATCTTGTACTTGTGGATTCCTTCCAGCTGCTGCTCCTGTTGGTGGTGTTGTTGTTCTTGTCGCTGTTGTTGCTGTTGTTGTTGTCGTCGTCGTCGTTGTTGCGCTTGTTGTGGTTGTTGTGGTTGTTGCGGTTGTTGTTGCTGCTGCTGTGTTGTTGTTGCTGTTGTTGTTGCTGTTGTTGCTGTTGTTGTTGTTGGCGTTGGTGTTGGTGTTGGTGTTGTTGTTGTTGGTGGTGGTGGTGGTGGTGTTGTTGTTGTTGTTGTTGGTGTTGTTGGTGTTGTTGGTGTTGTTGTTGTTGTTGGTGGTGGTGGTGTTGGTGGTGTTGGTGTTGTTGGTGTTGTTGGTGTTGTTGGTGTTGTTGGTGTTGTCGGTGTTGTTGGTGTTGTTGGTGTTGTTGGCGTTGTTGGTGTTGTTGGTGCTGTTGGTGCTGTTGGTGCTGTTGGTGCTGTTGGTGCTGTTGGTGCTGTTGGCGCTGTTGGTGCTGTTGGTGCTGTTGGTGTTGTTGGTGCTGTTGGTGCTGTTGGTGCTGTTGCTGTTGGTGCTGTTGGTGCTGTTGGTGCTGTTCGTGCTGTTGGTGCTGTTGGTGCGGTTGGTGGGTGCTGTTGGTGGGTGCTGTTGGTGGGTGCTGTTGGTGGGTGCTGTTGGCGCGCGCTGTTGGTGGGCGATGCTGGTGGGCTCTGTTGGTGGGTGCTGTTGGTGGGTGCTGTTGGTGGGTTTTGTTGGTGGGTGCTGTTGGTGGGTGCTGTTGGTGGGTGCTGTTGGTGGGCGCTGTTGGTGGGTGCTGTGGGTGGGTGCTGTGGGTGGACACTTGTGGGTGCTGTGGGTGCTGTGGGTGCTGTTGGTGATGTGGGTGCTGTGGGTGCTGCGGGTGCTGGGGCGCTGTGGGTGCTGTGGGTGCTGTGGGTGCTGTGGGTGCCGTGGGTGCTGCGGGTGCTGGGGGTTCTGTGGGCGCTGTGGGTGCTGTGGGTGCTGCGCGTGCTGTGGTGCTGTGGCGCTGCGGTGCTGAGGCGCTGCTGTGTTGCTGTGCTGCTGTGCTTCTGTGCTGCTGCGCTGCTGTGCTGCTGTGCTGCTGTGCTGCTCTGCTGCTGCGCTGCTGTGTTGCTGCGCTGCCGTGTTGCGTTGTTGCTGTGTTGCCGTGTTGCCGTGTTGCTGTGTTGCCGTGTTGCCGTGTTGCTGCGCTGCTGCGCTGCTGTGTTGCTGTGTTGCTGTGTTGCTGTGTTGCTGCGTTGCTGCGTTGGTGCGTTGCTGCGTTGCTGCGTTGCTGCGTTGCTGCGTTGCTGCGTTGCTGCGTTGCTGCGTTGCTGCGTTGCTGCGTTGCTGCGCTGCTGCGCTGCTGCGCTGCTGCGCTGCTGCGCTGCTGCGCTGCTGCGCTGCTGCGCTGCTGCGTTGCTGCGTTGCTGCGTTGCTGCGTTGCTGCGTTGCTGCGTTGCTGCGTTGCTGCGTTGCTGCGTTGCTGCGTTGCTGTGTTGCTGTGTTGCTGTGTTGCTGCGTTGCTGCGTTGCTGCGTTGCTGCGTTGCTGCGTTGCTGCGTTGCTGCGTTGCTGTGTTGCTGTGTTGCTGTGTTGCTGTGTTGCTGTGTTGCTGCTGTGTTGCTGCGTTGCTGTGTTGCTGCTGTGTTGCTGCTGTGTTGCTGTGTTGCTGTGTTGCTGTGTTGCTGTGTTGCCGTGTTGCTGTGTTGCTGTGTTGCTGTGTTGCTGTGTTGCTGCGTTGCTGTGTTGCTGTGTTGCTGTGTTGCTGTGTTGCTGTGTTGCTGTGTTGCCGTGTTGCCGTGTTGCAGTGTTGCTGTGTTGCCGTGTTGCTGTGTTGCCGTGTTGCCGTGTTGCTGTGTTGCTGCGCTGCTGTGTTGCTGTGTTGCTGTGTTGCTGTGTTGCTGTGTTGCTGTGTTGCTGTGTTGTTGTGTTGCTGTGTTGCTGCGTTGCTGTGTTGGTGTGTTGCTGTGTTGCTGTGTTGCTTTGTTGCTGTGTTGCGGTGTTGCTGCGTTGCTGTGTTGCTGTGTTGCTGCGTTGCTCTGTTGCTGTGTTCCTGTGTTGCTGTGTTGCTGTGTTGCTGTGCTGCTGTGCTGCTGTTTTGCTGGTTTGCTGTGTTGCTGTGTTGCTGTTTTGCTGTTTTTGTTGTTGTTGTTGTTGTTGTTGTTGTTGTTGTTGTTGTTGTTGTTGTTGTTGTTGTTGCTGCTGCTGCTGCTGCTGCTGCTGCTGCTGTTGTCGTCGTCGTCGTCGTCGTTCTTATTTTGTGTTGCCATGTCTGCTCACTACTGCGTACCTGAACCTGTGGGTGCGTGTTGGAGCTCACCCTGGGTTGTGTTCGAGGATCGTGTACCAGGGATCACTGCTCCGCTACCATGTTAAACTGAGTGTGACTGTGTAAACCTGTGATGTGTCAGCGCGGCACTTGTTGTCTCCAATGGGCTGTAGTCTATGTAGGCTCAGGGCCTTGATGTACAAAGGAGCAGGGCCATGCACAGGATGGAAGATAAATAATATGTTCCAGGCTGTGAACCCCCCCCCCCCACCCACCCCCTTCTTGTAGGGGGCGGGTTGGGGTCGTGGGAGAGGGGTGCTGGGGTGTGGGTTGGCTTGGTTCACGGGATGAACGGGTGGGAGTATGGAACCGGAGCTGCAGGGCAACGGTACTGGACAGCATCCCCAGCATTGCCAGCATCATCCCCATGATGCTGATGATGCGGGGGAACCCTGCCCTTGGGAGGGTTGGCGACCTAGGGACTGGAACATGTGTATGTATATATTCAAAACTCAATAACATACCAATATTCAGATATTTTGGAGGGGTATTGAAGTACTCAGCCATCTTCGAGGGTATAAATTGGAGGGTCACCCTCAAAACATGTAGCTAAAGGTGACTTCTGCAAAAAACTTCTCGTGCCAAAGGGCCGAAAGCACCAGTCTTGCCGCTGCCAGTCTCAGCAGCCACCAAGACATCACCTGAAAGGTCTCAAAATAGAGTCTGGTGCCCTAGTCGGTGTCCTTGTCAGTTTCCCTTTGAATGGCAACCCAAAAAGAGGCAGTTGAACTCCACAAAAAAAACAAAAAAAGAACAAAATTCAAAGGGAAAAAAAACAACGGTTCGCAAAATCGTAGTCCCCTTTTTTCAGGTAAAGGTGTCCGAGGTGTCCTCTTGGTTTCCCTTGTACCACACAAAAGCGGGCTTACCCTGGATTTTGAGAAACGCTCGTGTTGCACGCAGCTCGCCATATGGGCAGTCCAGTCTGTGGCCAAGGTTGATTCCAGCGACCAATCCCATGTTCATCTGCGGAAATGGAGAACCATTCTCAACCCTGCCGGCTTAAGATGGCCAAGAACGGACCTGTTTCTTTGGTGGAATGCTCTGTCTTCACACAAATGGCCCTTCAAGTGATAGTGACGCTGGTCAACGGCAAGCTGGTCGGTAGCCTCCACCGAGGATCAAAGGCACCGCCTGCCAAGCGGACACATGCAAATCGTGCAAATCCTGAATATACAGGCCTGGCAAAGAGCAATCGTTGCAGTTGAAATCATCCGAGCCGGATTGGTTCAAAACAGAATAAGCTGCTCCCATCAAAAAACAAGCTACATCTGCGGCCATGTCAAGATTGACGACCTGCGAGTGATCCACATTCAAACGTTGCCGTGCAGCCGAATATTCAAAACAAAGACATAATGTGGTTCTCACTATCTCAAATGTTGCTCACCTGTGACAATTGCATTCCTCAAGTATGTTCAATCACAGCAAATGCTTAATCGAGGGCTGCTTTAAATCATGCTTAGAAGAGATGTGATGATCCAGGTCAATGACTGCCTGTCGTCTCATCTGGATAAACAGGCGGTTGGGCATAAGCAGTTTGCTGAACAGGAGAATCTGACGGCTCGCCTCCTGCTGTACAGGTGTGGGCAACAGCCAGTCATCCTGGCACAAAGAGCGCCAGCACCAGGGATAAAGCCCAGCAAAGGTTGGAGAAGCTTTGCACATAGGTGTTGATTCCCCGTTCTTAACCCTCGTTCGTTTCCAAAGCCAGCCCTTTGATGGGGCTTTGGTCTGATGGCAAAGACGGAAGTCGTTTGCACGTGGCAGGTCCTCCTCGACTGCTTGAATAATCTCTGGGCAAATGCCCAGCTCTTCGAAGGCGCTCATTGCGACCTGTCCGATCGGATCGCTTCCTCGCGGCCTGAAACCAAACCTAGCAAATCCCGATGCTTTGGACAAACCCAGATTGCAAGCGAAAGCCACGTCGAGCCGCAAAACACTGGTAGTTTGCAGTAAACTACAGGGCTTCCTTGCAATACATATCACTGAGTCGTAGTCCTTGCTGCGCAACCAGTGTTTGCAATCATCGGCTGTGAGAACAATCTGCTCACACAAAAGAATGCTTCACCAACCGACTCAAGTCCACCATCACGCAGCGTCTCAGGTGTGACGTCCAAGCCTCGCGCCAGTTCCTACTCCGCTATGATACATTTTGAGCTTCAGCTGGTGCGTACAGAGAAACAAACTGAGAGGAAGCTTGGAGTTCTGCCATGCCCTGCTTTCCATCAGGATCTGAAAGGGGCATCCACGCTTGCTGCAAGCAGGCAGTCATTTCCCTATCACGTGAGCGCAGGCAAGGCCTGGGCATCTTATCCCAGGGCACTTGCTGTCTATGAATTCCATGTGCGAGACAAGCTTTGCCTCTAGCCAGGAACTCCCTCGGCCGGGTGCATTTACAGCCGCCCAAAACCCTGCTACATGCTGTTCGTGCTGTTTTTTGCCAGTGCATGTTCTCTTCACTCACAGGGGCCAACATGTGTGTTTTGGTGTGAGTTTCCTTCCTTCAAATAGATCTAGACGGAAAAACACTCTTTGTGTGTATGTGTGTGTGTTTATTGATTGATTCTTTATATGCTTTGTTGATTTATCTGTCTTGCGCACTTTCCTTCTTGCTTTCTTCCCTACTTTGTCTCTATTTGCACTTCTAACATGTGAATCTATTCTTGCTTCTCATTCTCTTTACATGTGACTAGGCCAACTTTGCCGGGGAATTGCAAAGAAGGTGAAAAAAGCTAAGCCACGATTCAAAGAGTAATAGGCAGGCAGCCCGAGCTGGCCAGCCCTCATTTCAGGCAGCCAACCTTTTCACAGCATTAGCTCAAGCGCGCGTCATTCAAAGTTACCCTCTGGCATGCCGCAAGGCATGAGACATGTTACAGCGCAAAGGTCGATGACCCGTCTGCAGATACCAAACCTCAGCTCGTTCCAAACACCTGGCTGTGGAAGCACCTCACCCCACATTTGGCGAATTCCGCACTTGCAAACGAACAAGCTCAACCTCACTCGCCCCGGAAAGCAAACCGTATCTGCATGCGCAAGGACAGATTTCTGTATCTTTCCTCCCGGCGTGCACGCGTAATTCTAGTGTATATATATATATATATATATGGCCCACGGTCAAAATATGGCAGCTACCCATATGGAAACCTCCGTCACCCTGGATGTCGTGAGAAATTTAGATGATCCCCCTGTCCCAAACCCAGAGACAACACATTCCGACCAACACAGGAGTTTGTCGCAACGCAAATTTCGTGCATGGCAACTTGCGCTTGCGTTGGGGTCCCTCCGCCTCGAACAACCGCAGCCAACCAGTGGGTTGCTGAAACCCCTTTGCCAGGCAGCAATCGTGGGTGTGACCCAGGTCCGACTTCCGCGCCATTTGCCGGATCATGTCCTCCTCATCCGCCTGCCATCAAAACCTGGTGTCCTCTTTCCCAAATGGAAGTGTACAGCCTTTTTCTTGAAGACAAATGGGCCAAACCCCAAAACACTGAAACGATCTAGTGGCCGGTTGGTACCCAGCTCCCAACAATCCTGGAAGTGCCCGGAGATATGTCTGAAAGGCTCTAATCTTTCAAAAGGGGTCTCTCCACTTCCACAACCGGAGCGTCAATGAGTCTGCCAATGATCCCAGAAAGAATCAAAGGCCTGCCTATTTCCAGGACACTGCGCCAGGTCAATTTACTTGGGTTGACTGCAAGTTACGATGGCCATTGGACTCTGCTCAGCCCCCATTTGCCTCTTTACAACCTCCAAAGCTGGCCTTTCGAAGCGAGTCCGCTTGTTGCACATTTGCAGCCAGCCCGTCTGGTGATCTGTGTCCGTGTGCCTGTGTGCCTGTGTGTGTGTGTGTGCGCCTGTGTGTACGTCTCTGTGTGCGTGTAAATAGGGACCCCTCTTTCAAAACCTGCGTCTCCTTTTGGCTGCCTAAACCACCCACCCCACCCCACGACCCCCCCCCCCGCGCCATCCCCTCGCGTTTCTCACTGTTCAAAAACGGGGCGCTTGTGGCGCCTTCAATGCAAGCCTCTGGATCACCTCCTCGTGCTGGGCCTGTGACTTTCTCGGCTTCAGCGAAAGGTGACCCAAGCGAAATCGGTTCTGAAGGAAAAACGCGCCGGCCCCCCAAAGAAAAAGAAACGCCGGAAAGGAAGACCTGCTTCTTGTGGAGGCTCGAAAGAATGTCGATGGACCCCCCACAGCGATCATGACGGGGTGTAGTAATTTTGAGCATACCCAATCAGCCCACAAGGCTTCCTTGCGTGGTTCCGGAGTATGCTCCAAAAGTATGCTGCAGAACTCTAGGACTCTTGCATGAATCATTGGCTTGCCAAGTCCAAGATGGTTTCGACTATGGTCGAGGTTTAAGGGGCAGGCAGCCACTAGCCACTATATAGAGGGTATACCCGCCGCGATGTTTTCTGGCAAGACTTCGGGAAAGTGGACATCATCTTAGTCTGTGGCCGTGACGTGCCGAATGTTACGATACCTCGAGCGATCTAAACTTGGCAACAAGCATGTAGTAGCGCTGCTTCACATTTGAGCAATTCTCAGGGATGCGCACACGCACCAAACAATGCTTGCCCTGGGCACAAACCCTGCTCTATCAAGCCGGCATTGCTGCATGTGCCTTGTTGCGGTGGTCCAGAGCATGAAGCCGATCTTCCTTGGAACATCAGGATGTGGACATCTACACTGGCAAATGTTCGCTCCATGCTGCATGTTTGCTTCAGAACACTCGGCACATGAATGTACAGTAACCTAAGCTCAAAGAAGCTTTGTCTTTCTTGGCCTAGCATCTGCTTGCCCCAACCGCTTTGCCAGGGGAGGCAACGCCGGCAGCGCCTGGAAGTTCGCAGAGTTTCAAAGTTTCTACTGTAGACGAAATCCACTTCGAACCAGTTGGGATGGGTGGAACTCCACAAATACGGGGATAAATCACATACCGACGGGTGCGAAGTACATCCATTCCCCTGGAGGTGTGCATGATGAGGTCACCTTGCGTTTTTCTGCGAGGGCAAACATCCGCATAAGCGACCCCGACCTGGGACGGCGCTCTGACAGTGATCTCCGCGGCTAGTGCTGACGGCTCTGTCTGCTCCAGCGCCTCACGCAAGATACGGCCGCGCCACAGGCAAAATGTAGCTGGGTCCCGCAAAGTGACAACCTCGATTGCCCTCTACATAGTTCAAAGGGAACCATCCCCCAAAAAAAGGACTTTGAGAAGCCTTAAATGAGGAACCCAGGCAAAATCTAGATCCTGCAAATCCCGAGCGTGCTGCCTTGGGTGCGCTTGGTATCTCGTCTCCCCAAAGCTGCCTCGGCCGTTTGGATGGTTGCAACCACCTCACCCAAGTCACAAGAAATCAGAGAAGCAGAAATGGTGTTTTGGAAACGCAAGATGGTGGTCAGATTTGCATGGAGGTGAAGCCAAAGCCAAAAAATACGAGAAGTGCATCTTCCCCAAGCCAAGATCCATGCCTGTGAAGCACATCAAGATCCCGTCGGCAAAGGTCTGAGTCCTGTCGCCGGATCGACTTACAAAAAGCACCTCGTTGGAATGGCAGACCGAACGCACTTTGCAGAGGTGCCAATCCAAAGCTGTTGCCCAGGACAGCCAGACGCACGCCCCCGCCATCCCCTCCCCTCCCCCGCGTCCTTGCGGAGGTGGCTCAGTGATGCCTTCGCTCACTGCAGTCCCCATCAGACAATCATTGGCTCTACGCCAGAATCAAAAACCTTGAGTGCCATGGAATTGCCAGTCAGTTGGCAACACTCCGATTTAAAAAGATAAAGCAACAAGCACAGCGGACTGTGCCCTGTTATCCTGGCTCCGTCAAAGTGACATCCTCAAAATGATACACCGGATCCAGACAATACTTTGAGAACCCCTCAACATTCAGCCACTTTAATGCTTAACCCGGGCAACCGTACAATCAGGGGTGAAAATCCTTCTGATTAGTGTGGTTCGGATCAATCCAAAGTTGACATCCAGTTGAACCCAGTCACAGCCATTTAGGAAAATGCTCACCCACTGGTGGGAGCAAACGTATATATGATATATCAGGGAAGCCTCTTATTTGGTTCTTTCCCTTCCAGCACAGGCATGGAGTCCATTCAACTGTTGGAAACGTCTTTCGAAGGTACCCTTTTCACGAGTAAAACCACCCATTTCAGGGGGGGGGGGGGATTTTGACACATACCCCTTCAGTTCCACGCATCGCCTCTGTGGTGACGCTGAGCTGACGCATCGCCTCGCCCAACTCTTGCCGCAGCTGGGCTTCGCAGCACGCGATGGAATGCTCCAGCTGCCGGAAGCCGTCCTGGACTCACCGTCCCTGTTGAACCAATTCAGGGGGAATCTCAAGATAGAGGAACCCCCCTCTTCAAGGGTAGTTTCCTGTTGGTTTCCCTTCGGAACCATCCAAAAAGACTTGGCACTGGTTTTAGCGAGGTACCTTCCGCAGTAGTTTTAAGGGAGCTCGGATAACACGGAACAAACATGAAAAACCACCAATCCAAAAAAACACCAATCCAAACCAGCTTTGTTTATAGGGCACCTCATAAGGGCTAGTCAAGGCCGAAGTTTGCGGCCTTACCGTTGGGAAAATGAGTGAGATCCCCTCGTTGGTGCAAACTGTCCGGCCCAAAGCAACCACAGAGTACGAGAAACACATGTGCCAAGTCTTTCTCTTTCCATCTGGCTTGCTTTTGCCTGGTTGGCTTGATGTGATTTACTTGATTGACTTGAGTGATTGAAACTGGAGAAAAAACAACACACTACGACACCCGCAATGTCCTTGATCTCCTCAGCCGTCGGCAGCTCTGCCACCTCTAAGCCTGGAGCACGGCCAAGCAAACCCAAGCCAGGGTCTTTTTAGCAAAGTCAAACCAAGTTCAGCTCCCCAAAAGGAGCTGATCACATCGAATCAAATCATTCCATAGTCTTTGCAACAACCAACAAAGTGGTGCAAGTGGTGCAAGGCCGTTTGAAGATGAAAGTACTATAAAGACTTGAGAAAATCAACACGCTTTTAACAAACCCCAAATATAAAGAAACGCTCCCCATCTCAGTCTCGCGGTCCAGCTCGGGTCCCCCACCCAGCTCCGTGACGCGAGCGCCCAGGGACTCAAAAGCGCTGCGCGTAGAGCGCTGCTGCACCTCCCTCTCGTGCTCCAGGTCTCAGACGTGACCGGGCATGGAGACACTCGGGGAATTCTGTCGTCTTGTTCTGGTACTTGGACTGGGACTTTTTTTCTGGTCGGCACCCCAAAAACAGAAACGGTTGGTTGGCCCCAGACAATCTATCGCTTGGGGCTGGAAAGCAGGGCCCCCTGTTGCAGGATACACATCTCGGTGGATGGAATGCCAAAGGAACAAGGAAATGAAAAGAAAGAGAAAGACGAGAAAGAGGAAGAGAAATAACAACAGGAAGAAGAAAGAGGAAGAGGAAGAGGAAGAGGGACACGGAAAGCAGGGGAACAGACGTGTGCTCCAAACTACAAATGTTCCAACCCCCCCCCATCCCTGGAGTCCGGCTTTGCTGGTAGCAAATGAAACCAATTCCTCTCATACTCTGAAAGAGACTCACTCTCTTTAAGCTGAGAAACTGGAGAGGCGGTACTCCAGTGAGCAGGTCTGCTGCGAGGTCTGCTGCAAAGACTCGTCCAAAACCTTCACGATGCGGCTTTGGTGGCCCAGCTCCGAGGATAGCCTGAGACGCAAAAAGCACGGATCTCCTGATTGTGTTTATTATTTTTCAAACATGTATCAAGGTTCAGGATCAAATTCTCTCTGAGGAACCCTGCCACCCCAAAGGAGGCTCGTGTGAAATTGGACCAGGCAATGTTGAAATCAGCTTGTGGGAAGAACATGTAAGGAGCGTAAAAGCGAGCTTCATCTGCTGTCCAGGTCAAGGACAAACAGGACTTGATGTCAAAATCAAACGATTCTACAAGGCTGGAAGCTTCAGACCATGTGTTCGACAACAGGAATGCTCACGCTCATGTTGGCACATAACGCATTGCAACACTACACCACATGCAGAAAGAGCAACAACAACCAACTAATACAGTGAATCTGCGCCTTCAGCAAACCAAGCACGTGGGTTGGACTCAAAGATTAGGGAAGGGTGGGGTCCCTCAACTCAAAGGATACATCCGGCCTCTGCGTCAAGGAATCCCCTACATCATCCGGCTGCTTGGATTTTTGGCTGGTCAAAATGTATCCTGTAAGGGACTCTGTTTCCCTTTAACCCAAATCAAGGCGGCAACGTGAAAATACCGGCACGCCCACATCGCAAGTGGCACAAATCTCCCGGCCTGCACAGCTCTTGTGCCTGCTCCTCGAAACTCTTCCGCAGGCGCCGCAGCTGGCTCTCCACTTCCATTGGAAACCAAACTCACCACGCAGGCCGTCCAAAAAGGTCAAACACACGCGTACTCAGACTCAGTCAGAGGTTTCGGCTCCTTGTGGAATACTGCCAAAAAGTACAAACACGTGCGATGTCCATGTGCTCTGCATACTCAGGTTACGCAATGGCCGTCGAAAAACTGTGGCAAGTGATGGATGCCAGCTCCATGGTTGATCACACCTCTGCCCTGAATTCGATAGATGCAACTATTTGTGTTGTGCATGTTCATGATACCAAAGCACGCTATAAAGGAGGCCGGCAACAATTGCTTGGCATGGTGTTTACGCATCCAGGGTTGCGCATCAACAGCACAATGGAACCATCACCCTTCATAATCAGTGTGTTCAATCACTTGCCTTCTTTGTGAACAATAATTGGATAAAGCGCACACCGCACAGTGCCCGCTCATCGATTCACTTTCTCACATTCCCAAGCATCTCAGGATGAGTGGTTCCCACCAGTTGGCAATGGCTCCGATTACTCAAACATGTTGGGCAACAATTAGTGTCAACCCCGGATTTAAACTTGAGCGGAACGGGACACGAAAGGTAGCTTCATCCGAAGACAGGCCTCAGAGAATGGGCAACAGCAGCCGGTCATGTTGAAGGGACAAACCTGGTTCAGGGCAAGAAAGACTCTGGTGCTTGGGGCCCGTATTTGGATATGCGACTGGATTGAAAGAAGTCCGAGTCGTGTCCCGGCAGGGTGGCACGGCCGCAGTTTCGAGCACGCCTGTTTCGCGTTTGGCGCAGTTAGTTTGTCGGCTGCCACTGCGCGCATATGCGCAGGGCGCATCATTGTTGCGGAGGCGGCCAAATCAGAATCCGCGCTTTCTCTGCACCATTGGCACTCAAGTCATAAACGATTTCAAGGTGAGCTCGGTTGCAGAAAGAGGCTACCAATTGCTAAACAAAATCCACCACGCGAAACTCGTCATGAGCGATTTCAACAGGAGTTCAATCGCAAAAAGGGGCTACAAATGATTAAAACAACGTGAGTTCAATCGCAAAAGAGCTACCAATTCTGAAAACTATTGATAGGTCAGAACTACCTGTAAACAGCAAGACCAAGCTAATTTGTTTTTGAGCCAGTCGCGTCATGGTTTTCACTGTACATGACGTCAACAACACCCCCCGCTTTGCGGAGGATGCATTTACAAACCTCCCCGGCGCGCTTCTGCTTCAACCCGATGAAGACAACGCCGATCATTCTCGGACACAGTTGTTAGTGCGTTCCGGACGGAAGAAACTGCCGGAAACATTCTGACCGTGAGTTTCACGCTTACCACGGGCGAGCTACCTGGTTGAGGGTCTGATCCACCGAATGGCCTTCCACGCCACCACCCGTACCATTCAACCTGAGCCGTATCAGAAAAAAAAAAAGAGCAAGGGGGAGAGAGAGCAGTGGCAGCAGCTGGTGGAACTGACCAAGGGTATGAGGGCCAACGGCAGTGGTGATTTCGCAAGACATCAAATTGCACAGTGTGGTTGCCAAGATTTGAAACTTTCAGTATTGAATTCGTAGGTCGGCGCACAACCGCGGCTTCCGCCGGGTTTGCAAAGCACGTTGCTGAAACCAGTAAATGCATTGATGGATGAACGTCACACACAAAGAAACAATCCAATTTGTAGCATCATTTAATATCAGAAGCCTCGTGCGATGCCCGGCGGAAGCCGTCACCGGCCATACTGGTGAGGCACAAGTCAAAAGTGCTGCTGCGGCATTGTGGCGTCACATTTGCAGCACATGTGCATCACCCACCGATGACACTTTCAATCTTGTGTTTTGCCTCTTCGCCTGCAAACCTGAAGTCCTTTGCCGCCGATTCGTCACATCCTCAGATATCTCTGCCCGTTGCCAACAGTGGGGGTAAAGATCAACTTAGTTCCCGTCTGCTGCGACCCTTGACGTCCCCCCCCACTTCTTTAGCGTGGTGCTGCGAGCGAACTCAGCGTTGAACTACAACGACACGCTCAACGAGCGCCTTCGAAAGCGATCCACTGCATTAACTTCACCGCCACGAAGCTGAGCACTCCAACGATGATGACATTGGTGGAAAGTTGCATCGAAATTTCTTCACGCTGGCAAAGAGTTTGCAGCCATAACACCAACGACTTCGGTTGGAGGTTGGCCAACCCTTTCACCAGGTCGGCTGCTTCCCAAGTTAAAGATTCCGCTCCGTCCGGTCTCTGCGTCCTGCGTCGTCTCCGTTTGGCAGTCGACAACAGTGCGTCTACTTACGCCGAGATGTAGGTCAGCAGCGCCGTTGAGAGAGCCGCGTCCGCTGCTGCTATGGAGCAGCAGTCAGCGCTGATGCACAGCGTGTCGTTGCCGTTGGCCAGCGCAGCTGAGAGAGGAGCCTCCAAATGCAGGTTGCGAGCTCCCAACTCGTGAACTCCGCCCAGGCGAGCGCGCTAACAACTCTGCAGGACGGCCAGGTACGCGAGGATTGCGTCGAGAGCCCTCTTGCTGGTGGAAATCACGGCGTTCGTGGCGTGCGAGGCCAGCAGCGTTGCGTCGGCCTTGGCGCCCTGCAGTGCGGAGATGCTGACGTTCCAGCTTGCAAGCTGCGCTGCAACGAAGAGGTGGCGATAAGACCCAGCAGAACACTTGCTATCTTGGTGTCTACTTCCAGTGGTGTGTCCAACCGAAAGCAGAGCGGCCAGTGCGCTTGCGTCGTCTTTCTTGCAAACTTGGAGGCGAGCGCTGCAGTGTGACGACACCTAGAAGAGCGTTAGGCACCTTGGTGTCAACTTTCAGCAACGTGATCCTTGCTGCATGTTGAGGGAGGTCCACGGTTGGCAGCCGTGGCCAGCGTGGCGTTGTTCACCGAGGCTACCAGGTGGATGAACACAGCAGTTATCGTGCCGTCCAGTCCCTTGAAGGTGAAGCGTGCCAGGTCGTGCTGACGCAAATCCTGGAGGCTGCCTAGCTGCATTTGCGACTTGAAGAGGCTGTCTCGAGGAGTTAAGGCAAGTTGCACTGCTCCTATCTTGAACCCAAACCAGACCACCCAAAAGAACAAAGCAAGTCCGAAGCGGCCGCAGTTTTTTTAACCGGGATTGCTGAAAGTAGCACTGCTTCCAGGGCACGGATGCGCCTGGAGCAGGAGGTGCGTTGACCCCCCGTGAAACTTAAAGGCAAGACAATGCGTGTCCTTGCAGGTGCGTGCAGTGCGCGCAAGGCGTGGCAGGCGTGCCCACGCCGGTCCGGAGACCTGGTGGTCCTGAGACCGTAGGCGGTCCGGAGACCTAGAGGTCCGGAGACCATGAATGGAAGTGCAGAGCTTCTGCAACTTCCCTTGCAGAGCCTTGTAAAAAAAAGCAGTGCAGGGTGGGTGGGTGGGTTTCAAATGAAACAGATCAAGTTTGGGTCAAGGCTAGGAGCAAAACGGCCACCGCGGAAGTAGATTCACAGCAAGCCCTAAACACAAGGGAAAAGAAAACCCTAAGCGTTAAGGCAAGTTGCACTGCTCCTATCTTGAACCCAAACCAGACCACCCAAAAGAACAAAGCAAGTCCGAAGCGGCCGCAGTTCTTTTAACCGGGATTGCTGAAAGTAGCACTGCTTCCAGGGCACGGATGCGCCTGGAGCAGGAGGTGCGTTGACCCCCCCCTTCAGTGTTTCAGGCAACCCCGGTATAAGCGAGCCAGCTGGGCCGCCGGCCTCATCACCCCCCTTGTACCTGGCAGGGCAATCGTCGCACGACATTGCAGTCTGTTGCTCAGGGACTGCTCTTTTTCGTCAAAGCGGCTTGCTGTGAAGCTGCTGACTGAGCAGGCGTTGTCGGGTCGCAATGCCTGTTGGGATGCAGCAAGGCTTGGCTACAGGCTGGCAGCAGCTGCCAGATGTTCCGGGCGCCAGGGCGCATCAATCGGACACAGCTGGATGCCTCTGCCTGATAGTGCAAGGCCTGCAGGGCTGAAGCGTACGCGACTCTCTGGGCGATGGCTGAATCGGGCTAACCGACCTCTGCTTAGGTCGTCTGCCCAATCATTGTTCCTGCCTGGAACATGTGTGGGCTGCAGCAACACGTTGTGCGCATGCGCCCAGAAGCACGAAGAGTTGCAACGGCCAGGAAGTCGTGAACAACTTGTTAAGGCTTGCTTCCGTTGCCGAATTATCAGTGCCTGAAGGCATGCTGAACGAGTAGTGCCCACCACCAATATGGCTATGGGTGGCCTGCAGCAGTGCCAACTGCGCCAGCGTTTCGAAACATGTGATGTACCGCTGTCCAGGCTTGACAAGGCAAGGCCATACTGCCCGTATGTCCAACCAAGAACTGATTGCCCAGCCCCCTATACCTACCAAGTCGTCTTCGGCACAGGCATCCGCGGCTGCCAGTGCCTGCAGCTGGTGCGGCCGTGCCAAGGGCTGAACCGGCAAGTGCTGGAAGCACGAAGCCAGCCACGTAAGGCATCGCTGGCTTGACTTGGAGAGGCCAGTATAGGGGTTATTCGGATCGTACCCACGTGGGTTTGCTGGTGCCTGGCACACGCGGGACGTCCTGAGGGCAGTGCATGGGGCGGCCTGAATTTCAAGAATTTTGGAGCCCGCTGCAATCCAAAGGCTGGGAAGGCTATGGCTGGTTTTGAGGCCCTTGTTCAAGGAGGCTCTGAAGGCTGACCATATTTGTGGTGGTATTGAGCGCAGGGCTGTTGAGATCAGAGTATAGCGGCGCTAACCAAGATCTGAGATGCAATGCAATGCTGGTGGCCCAAATGAGCAGGCCTATGCACTGCTCGAGTGTTTTACGTAGTACTCGTTTGCTTCCCAGCAATGCTTTGATCAAGGCGTCCAGCTTCATCAGCTTAGCGGACACGAGCTGAATGGTGTCGTGGGAGAAGTTGATCTCCCAGCCACACCAAATGAGCTGTCCTGGAACTGCGCCTTTTTCCACGAAATTGGCGCAGCAATTGCGCAGAAGAACAGCACTACTAATGCGAACATTTCTGAAGCGCTATCTCGGACGAGTGCGCACAGCAGGTCGTCCACGAAAAGGAAGGCTTTGTGGGGCTTCCAAG